GAAAACTACAAATTGTGTAAAAATTTTATAAAAACAATAAATTCAACCTTAATGGCATGATCAATTTTTATTAAAAAGATCCCTGGGTTGTCAGGGAATCAATTTGATTATACTTAAAATTATTAAGACTAAATTGCTAGACACTGGCCGTATTCGTTCCTGATTTTGCGTGATCGAAGTGATTTTTTGACGCATGCGCAATAACTTTTTTTATAAAATACGCATGCTCGAAATAATAATTATTATTATACTCCTGGTATACTTAGCCGCTTCTTGTGTTATACATAATTTGTCTTTTTATAATGTCTCATATAAATAAATTAGTTCAACACTATTTTTATAACCCGGATACAAAAACATTTTTTCCATATAACATTACTGAGGAGCAACAGAAACGAATGAAAGTAGGTAAGTGTCATTTAATAGCAATCCACTTGCCTAACCTCTAATCAGATTATGATGTTCAACATAAACATTAACTTCAAATTCGTTCAATTTCGTCAACATTACTATTTAATTCTTTGTTCATAATTTCATTGTAAAAGGTTATTTATTTTTCAGATAAAGAGTTTGCAAAAAGTGTATATGAGGAAATAAAAATGAAGATAGCAAGAAAAATAACCAAAATGAAAATTCTGGTTGCTCGTCATCAGGACAACATATAGACGATGTTTCCATTGATAATTCACTTCCTGCCACTACAACTTGCACGAGGAATGATTTTGTCATTCCAAGTGAAATTTTTGAGCCATTTGATAATATGCCAAGTGAGTGTTCGACATCAAATCAGTATGTACATTCAACTTGCGATGAGGAATATGAAGTGAATTTTCTCCCATTATGTAGTGCAGAAAACAATAAATGCACCAACACCAATACATATTTACGTCAAGCTTCTAATATTGATGATAATCCTATCAAAGCTACTACATCGAAACGCAATAAGCCTTCTTCAGGAAAAGATAAATATTATTGGCAATACCATGATACAAAACTGCTCATTAGTAGTTACGCTCTTCACGCTCAGGAACAATACCATCCCGTACTAAGAAATCACTTTTGGGAAAATATAGTCAATGACCTTGTCAGTCACGGTCATAATGTTGATAAAGATTTATGTGCTAATAAATGGAATAATCTACTCAGAACTTACAAAACTTGCAAGGATAAATCAGGACGAGAGCCTCACAAGTTCGCTTTTTGGCAAGAAATGGATGAAGTTTTAGGAGATAAGCCAACCAATTCATCTTCATTCACATTGGGTTCTCTGAAAAAGGATTCTGCAGATCGTGAAAATGATAGTGCCTCGTTAAATGTGAGTATTGATAGCTTGAAGAAAACTGATTGTAAACAAACTAAAAAAATGGCCAAAGAAAAGGGGATGAAGAAAAGGAGAAAGAGTAATTATGAGTCAAATGAAAAAATTGAATTAATGAGAGAAAAAATGGCAATTGAACGTGAAAAGATTGCTTTCAAAAAATCATTTGCTAAAGATTTTTTTGCTTTAGAAAAACAAAAACTACCTTAATGGGGAAATATTTTGATTTAAAGTCAAAAAAGATTAAAAATCGATTGCCATTTTTAATTTCAACTATTCAAAGATCTCTAAAAAATCATAATATATGATGAAAAATATGTATTCTTTTATAAGTCATATCTCAATGTTTTTCTTCGTTTTAAAAAATTGAAAATTAAGTTAGATGAGCTAAGTGTTGAGTTGAAATGTTGTTGTGAGGTTAAAATGTTGCGTTCATTTGTTTCGATATCTTTTGTCTTCTTGCAGTAATATTCAATATTGCTCAGAAATAATAGTAAACAATATGTAGAGAAAGGTGAAGTTAATTTTCTAAATAAATTCTATATTTATTCATGAGATGTATATTACTGTGTAAGGCATATATATTCAGTTAACTGTTTTATTTAAATATTGATATAAGATTGCAATATTGCATACAAAAACGAAGACTGATTATATATTGGAAGTTTAATATATTAAACTTTACAAGTATTTGTTAAAATAATGATGTAGATATAATGGCATCTCGTATAACAAATAAAAGTTTATAAACATATTATTAAATGTGAATATTATCATTTGTACACCTGAGCATATTACATTTTAACATTTTGTCAAGCACCTGATACAAAAATTTTATCATAGTACCCATGAATAAGAAGCTAATCTACAACAGGTAAAATATAAACAGTCTTTCATTCTGATTAGATTATTGTTAATGAAATATCCTACATTTGCTACTACAACACTGACTGCTACTGCTTCCACTGCTTATTACATTCTTTCGTGGCTTTCACTGCTTGTTTCACTGGATTCACTACTTCCTCCATTACTTTCATCACTTATTTCACTATCTGATGTATCATCTTCTATTGGATCATCATGTAATATACATATATTATGTAAAATACATGAGGCCATAACACATTTTACGATAATATCAACTCTCAAATTATCGAAGCGAATTAATCGTCGAAATCTTGCTCTTAGAAGACCAAAAGCCTGTTCTATTACGATGCGAGTTGATGAGTGTCGATAATTAAATTGACGTTGTCCAGGTGTGAGATGTCCATTATCTCGGAAAGGAGTTATCATCCATGGTGTACTTGGGTAAGCAGTGTCTCCAAGTAAGAAGTATGTTCCAAAGAAGTTTGGATCTGTGAGAGCTTTTTCATATAAAGGAGATCGTCGGAATACTCGTGCGTCGTGCATGGATCCAGGTTCACCAATGTATACGTCTGTAAAGACCTTATCACTGTTTGCAACTGCTTGCAAAATAATGCTGTGATATCGTTTCCGATTATAATAATCTTCTTGATGATGTACTGGTCTTCTGATACGAACATGACATCCGTCTATTGCACCTATTATTTGAGTTATGTTTTGGAGATCAGAAAATTTTCGACTAACTTCTATTTTATCTGCTGCAGTTTCAGGCCATCGTATATATTCTTCAGATAAAGAAATTAGAAAATCCAGTGAACATAATAAAACCCTATGAGAGTCGCTTGGTGCAAAATCGAATAAATTTGATAGTCCACGAAATGTTTCGATATTGGCTAGATACCACACGGTCATTAGCAGAGCTCGTTCATGAGTAATCCCACCGATTGGGAGATTTTGAAAAAAGTTAGTCTGCTCAAATCGTTCTGAAAAAAATAACAATGACGTTGAAAATTCTTGAAACTTCCACAAATTTCATTTTTTATAAATTTTCTGCGAGCATTCGCTTCATCACAAGTAATAAACTTATTGATTACCGATTAATTGATACAATGTTGATCGACGAAGCCTGAAGTGTTTCCGAAATTGTTTTTCATTGTACTGACGAACGGTGTTTTCGACAAAATTTCGAACGCACCTACGTGGAACTCGAATTCTATTGATACCTTCATCGTCTTCGGACGATTCTGATGATGATGAATCAGAAGAGAACAGAATATTATGAATATCAGGAAACGGAGCATCAAGTATCCATCCTTTAAATTAAAAAAGAAATAGAGTTAGGGCGTACTTATGTAATTTCTAGTGATCATGAAAACAATAGTGTTAAATAGTAGCCTTCTCTTTTATTGAATATCTAACATAATTTATGGGTAATTTTTGTAGGATTAGCACGGGAAATAAGGAAGATTTTCTCTATTTGATAAAAGAAATGGTATAAATATTAAAAATTTATTTCCATTATTAAAAGAAACTACTTTCTTGTTTTTTACAATGAGTAAATTATTATAAAAATCCACCAACAATTTAAGTAAACCTTATTTTTCCTAAATTAGATAGTCAAACAATAAACAATTAATTAGTAAATTCATGTATGTATTATAATTGATTGTAATTCTAACCTGTACAATATCATCTATCATTTGGTCCATTTTCGGAGTAATATCCTGGGAAAAACGAGTTCACATATAATCAGGTCCGAGCAGGTCTGTTCACATTCAATAATCTTGATAAATTTTAGTTGAAATAATTAAAACACTTTCTGATCGCGATAATTTTTATTTAGATAAATATTCGAGAATAGAAAAATAAAATAATCCGATGAAATGAATACGAAGTAATATACATATATATTATACACATACATATAACATACATTTACATATATCATACATGTACATATAATGTCCGCGCATGTCAAGTAATTTTTTATCTAGGCGCATGCGTCAAAAAATCACTTTGATCACGCAAAATCAGGAACGAATACGGCCACTAAGTCCAAGCGCGTGCGCATTAGCTTTCACCTGCTGCACGTACATGTGCGTTGGACTTGGTGGTGATTGTAAACTATCTGTTTAAAGTTGTAAATGTAATGGTATATTCATTTTCTTTACTTAAAATCTAAGTGAAGTTCGTCAGGACGTAACACCTATACACACACATACACAAATTACCCGTCAAAATGCGAGGCACCATCAGTTCTAGATACAGATCGCGCATTTTTTGTATATGGTGGACTGAGCTGTAATTAGATAGAAAATAAATAATCAGGAGACACGTTTACTTTAGTAGTGTCTCGTGCGCCTAGTTTAAATGGCGGTGACGAAGGCACTACTGTGTCTCTATTCTGCTTAAAACATAGTCTGTTAAGGTTTCGCACTTTGAAATTGCAATTTCTTTACTATAATGACCTAAACATGCCATAAAAACTTCGGAGAAACTGATTAATTTTACTTTAGGAATAGATTAGGCATGCTATTGTCTTTCAAAATAAACTCTTTTAAAGAATGAATAATTGGCCACGCCCCCATATACAAGATTCAAGAAAATACAGATTTCTTTTTCTTCAATATACGATTTGTTTCATAAAGTTGGTACCATTGTACGGTTGTTGTAGTATAGTAAACAATTTAAGTCGGTAAACAAAATGTACAGATTAGGATCGTAAGTTTCTAATTTCTTTGCGAATTTGTTTTTACTTGAAAATTTTAGTCCTAAATTAAAGCTTGTTTCATGATGTAGTGCGCTGGATAGCAATTTTGATTATCCAATTGATTTTTGTAATAGAAAAATTAAAAAGAAAATCAAATATTGAAGGATTGATTTGCCGTCCTTCAACGACAAGATAGCCAATAGAAGTTTATAAAAAAACAATTGTGAATCATATCAAAAACAGCCCTACGGACTGTACAAAACTGTGCGCCAAGTTTAAATAACGAGGACGATAATCTGTGTTCTTAAAATTCTATTATCGTAAATGTACATTATTTAGAAAATTACAAAAAAAGGTAAAATCATCAAATGCCAAATATTGTATTTCGAATATTAGTCACATTTATTAAAGTAAAATAGATTAATTTTATTTGAGAGAGTTTTCAATTGTTTAGAAATTATAAAAATCATTTTTGATACTTAGAAAAAAAGGTACCTTAAAAAACATGTGGAAAAGTAAAAATACATTGTGTTAAAAATTGGAAAACATGTAAAAAAATACATCAAAATAGATTTAGTAATTTTAATTGTAATATTTTGAAACTTGGAAAACTTGGCGTGGCTATTACGACGCGTCAGTAACGGTAAGGCTACAGAAAAGACAACGACGTAAATAAAGTTATTAATAATAATTTCAATTAATTTTATTATTGACTATTGAAAATTTTCAAGTAAAAACATAAATTCGCAAAGAAATTAGAAACCTACGATCCAATATATCTAGATTGAGGGAATCAGTCACCTCCATGAGTTCAGCCCAGCTTTAATTCATTAATCGTATTATTATTATCCGTGTTTAAATACTAATTGAAACTGCGTTCAACTGCTTTCATTTTGCTTGTATTGAAAATCATGTATAAGCTTTCATCTGCAGCATCAATGATCATTTTCTATGCATTTATCAATAAGATTTTCAGTTTTAAAGACTGAAATTTGTAATTTTCATAAAAAATATTTCCATCATGGAAAAAAGTCAGACATTTCATACATAGCAAATATTATCTATGTATTTTTATTATAGAGCTGCTGATATCCATGACAATGATAAACGTGTGTAGTATTCGTTCAATTCATAATATTTCATTGTGATTGATAATTTACCTTGACAAATTATCTTTTTAATATTTTCAAAGATAGAATATAGCCGATAAATTTTTTTGCGTGCTATCTAAATGGTACACTCGTTTTCATCGATGTTTAATTCATATTTATTTCTAGTAAGCCATTACTGACTGCAAGAATGATTTCCTCCATATTGAGATTCGCCATCAGGTATCACTGAAACGTTTTTTGTAGTAAAAAATCAACGTCCTGACATATCTCCGACATATTCTTGTATTCTAACTTGTCTATCTTGTAATCATCACCAAATATAAGCGAAGTCTCCGCTCCCTAGTAAGTTGGAGAAGGTTTTTTTCACGACTTCAACTATGGGACTGCTAGCCAGTTACGGGACGTTACAAAATTGTCATCTACAAATTTACCTTTTAAAATTTTTGAAAGAAAATTCGAAAAAGTATTCTCTTATGCTTTTTATCGAAATTAATAAGAAAAAGACTTAATTTTGTCAATCACATGGCACTCTATTTGATTTTCGTTGTTTCGTAATTCTTTCAAATAATAATTTGGAATGAAAATTTTGTTATTTGTACAGTCATTTGTGACGTTTACATAGCGCGACATTTTACTTACATACGATGATAGCTGTTTTGATAGGATTTCTAATATACACGAATTGATTAGAATTCTCGTTCCGAATTCATCACAGAGTATTCCGTATTTCAAATAAAGTTATTCAAACTAAATGATTTAAAACTTCACTTAATCAATCTATCATTATGTAATGTAATTCCATTATAATAATCGTTTACAGTAAATATTAGACTTTTCTTTCAACTTAAAAAGTGACATGATTTCCAATTTATGTGCATCAATTCTTATTGTTTGTTATTCTTTATACCAATAAAATGTTAAAAAGTTTATGAATGAAATGAATTTATTAATTAAAATAAATTTTGAATTTTTGAGTTATGTACGTACTTAATAAGCACATTGATCTTAAATATTGTTCCAGTTGATCTAATTTTGTGACATTAGAATTAAAAACATTTATGTAATTCCAATTGTTCATCAATAATATGAAATAAAGTAGACCATCACAAGATTAGACATTTTTTCTACATTAAAAAGAACAGTGTATGTTTTATGGCAATCCAAAAATACTGTGTATTCGAGAATCGAAGCAGAAATCAATGATTGATATGAAAAAGCATTAAACTGATGATCCATCACTCTATATGATTTTGAAGATTACTCATGTCTTCATGCATGCGATCGTATTTATTGTACCATAAAAAGACGACTGGTTGGAAATAAATAACATACATTAAGTAGAACAATGCAATTGAGATTATCAAAATACTAAACAACAAGAAATACTTTGGCACTGAATTAACTCCGCGCATTACCATACTGCAATGGAAACAAGTATTGCAGAGACACAAATATTGACCATCTAAAATAATGTGAATAATCAAAAAATCTGAGACTCACTTCTTTTTTTAGAAAGTCATTTTTGAAGATTACTAAAAAACATTTTAGGTAATAAATTGACTTACACGTTATTTTCTATACATAAACGTAAATCATTAATACAAAAAAATTTCAAATTCCAGAATTCAATTTTAAAAATAGGACGTTCTAAAAAATGTAGTACATGGATACAACAAATTGTCTATAATATCAATCAGATACATAAAACGTGTTTTTCAATTTCATATTATAAGAGGTTACGTTTCGGCGGGTGACATATTTTATCTATCACTGTTGCCCAACAGAGCACAAATACCCTCGGATGACGGTTCGTTTCCCCAACAATTTGAGAATTCTTCTTTTACAGTTGTTCCATCGAGACAAGAAAGTATCGTAATTGGTTGTGCAGTTCTGCTGCATTTTTCACTACATTAAATTATCGATTGCATTGAAGAAAGAGTGTAAGATAGCCATAAAAATTTACTGTATAATCGAAAAAAAAGATGATAGATCAATTTTCAAACAGAAATAGTTTCGAACTTTATATGATTAGCTTTGA